TATTACGAGACTTATCAGTAGAACTTGTTTCCAAAGATTTATTCCATTTTACTGTATTAAGTGGAGGATATTCTTATGTCTCTTAAATTTTAGTTATGCTAAAGTGTCCAACTCCATTACTTGGTTTCTTAGGTGCTTCTTTAATTAATGATAAAACTTGTTCCCAAAGACTTACTTTCTTTTAATGTATTAAATGGAGGATATTCTTATGTCTCATAAGCTATGGTTATGTCTAAGTGCTCACAAAAAATGTATGAATCTTGGGTGATTTTTTTTTTTGACAGGCAGAGTGGACAGTGAGAGAGAGAGACAGAGAGAAAGGTCCTCCTTTGCCGTTGGTTCACCCTCCAATGGCCGCCACGGTCGGCGCACTGCGGCCAGTGCACCGCGCTGATCCGATGGCAGGAGCCAGGTACTTATCCTGGTCTCCCATGGGGTGCAGGGCCCAAGCACCTGGGCCATCCTCCACTGCACTCCCAGGCCACAGCAGAGAGCTGGCCTGGAAGAGGGGCAACCGGGACAGAATCCGGCGCCCCGACCGGGACTAGAACCCTGTGTGCCGGTGCCGCAAGAGGGAGGATTAGCCTAGTGAGCCACAGCACCAGCCGGGTGATTCTTTAAAGTTAATTAACTTTCTCAAAAAAAAAAAAAAAAAAGTGAAATTAACTTTGAGATCAATGCTTTTGAACAGTCCTTGCCTTGACTATTGAGAAAGTTTTTTCTTTTTTCTTTCTTTTTCATACAAATTATCAAACTCTTTACTTACTATATCTCTTTACTTACTTAATTGCTTGTTTATAAAGTTAACTGAAAATAGATCTTAGTACAAAATAAGACTTCGAATAGAAGTGGGAGCAAGATGGCCAGCGCCAAGTGCCACGGCTCAATAGGCTAATCCTCCACCTGTGGCGCCGGCACACCGGGTTCTAGTCCTGGTCGGGGCACTGGATGCTGTCCCAGCTGCACCTCTTCCAGGCCAGCTCTCTGCTGTGGCCCGGGAAGGCAGTGGAGAATGGCCCAAGTGCTTGTGTCCTGCACCCACATGGGAGACCAGGAGAAGCACCTGGCTCCTGGCTTCGGATCAGCGTGGTACGCCAGCTGCAGCGTGCTGGCCGCAGCGGCCATTGGATGGTGAACCAACGGTAAAGGAAGACTTTGTCTCTCTCTTTCACTAACTCTGCCTGTCAAAGAAAAAAAAAAAAAAGAGGGCGCAAGAAAGAAGAAAGGAGGGAGTTTGGGTGGGCATGGTGGGAAGAAGTATTATATTCCTAAAGTTGTACTTATGAAATGCATAAAGTTGGTATTCCTTTGAGTGGATTTTTTAGTAAAGTACAATGCATCTTGTAAGGTATAATGCATCTTCTCTGACAAAATTAGAATAAAGCTGGAAATCAACAACTCAAGAATCTCCCCCAACAAATGCAAACACTTGGAGACTGAAGAATAAGCTCCTGAATGAACAGTGGGTCATAGAAGAAATTAAAAGAGAAATAAAAAAATTTCTCGAAATGACTGAAGAAAACAATACAACATTTCAAAACTTATGGGATATAGCAAAAACAGTGTCAATAGGGAAGTTTATAGCAATTGTTGCATATATCAAGAAACTGGAAAGGCACCAAATAAATGAGATTTCAATGCTTACCAGGTATCTAGAAAAACAACAAACCAAATCCAAAATTAGTAGGAAAAAGGAAGTAAGTATAAGGCAAGACCCCTACCTTATATCTTACAGAAAATCCACTCAAAATGGATCAAACACTTAAATCTATAACCCAATACCATCAAATTACTAGACAACATTTGGGAAACCCTGTAAGACATTGGTATAAACAAAGAATTCTTAGAAAGGACCCTAGAGAAACAGGCAATCAAAGCCAACATTGACAACTAAATTGGGAAGATTCTGCACTGCAACAGAAACACTCAGCAAAGTGAAGGAGCAACCAATAAAATTGGGAAATTATTTGCAAATTATTCAACTGATAAATGATTAATATCCAGAATCTGTAAGAGCTCAACAACAACAAAATAAACAACCCAGTTAAGAAATGGGCCAAGGTCTAAAACAGGCATTTTTCAAAGGAGGAAATTCAAATGACCAACAGACATATGAAAAAATGCTCAGGATTACTAGCCAACTTGAAATGCAAATTACAACTACAATGAGGTTTTTCTTGACCCCAGTTAGAAAAGCTTTCATACAGAAATCAACAATCAACAAATGCTGGCAAGGATGTCAGGAAAATGGTACCCTAATCCACTCTTCATGGGGATGCAAACTGGTACAACCACTGTGGAAGATGGTATGCCGATATCTCAGAAATCTGAATATATATCTACCATATAACATAGCCCACTCCTGGGAATTTACCCAAAGGAAATGAAACCAGCATATGAATGAGTTTTCTGTACCCCCATGTTTATTGCAGCTCAATTCACAATAGCTAATCTATGGAATTAACCCAAGTGTTCATCTACTGAAGACTGGATAAAAGATTATGGAATATGTACACACTGGAATACTACACAGTGGTTAAAAAAAAAAAGGAAATCCTGTCATTTGCAACAAAATGTATTCAACTAGAAACCATTATACTTAGTTAAATAAGCCAGTTCCAAAAGGACAAATACCGTATGTTCTCCCTGATCTGTACTAATAGAGTGCCTAAAAGGTAATCTACAGAAGTGAAATTGATACAATGAAAGTATCATTGATACAAGTGAAATTGATGCAATGACTTTGAATAGCCCTTCTCAACTGATGAGAAACAGTATTTTTGTTGTTTTTGTTGTTTTTCATACTATTTTTTGAACTCTTTACTTAGTATAGGGTTAATCATATGTGTTTAAATTTAAATGAAAATAGGTATTAGTATAAAACAAGAAAGGGAACAGGAGAGGGAGGAGGAAGAAGGGTGGGAGTGCAGGTATAAGGGAGGGTAGGATGGGAAGAATCACTATGTTCCTAAATTTGTATTTATGAAATGCATTAATTTTGTATACCTTAAATAAAAGGTTTCTGGAATTTTAAAAAAAAGTGACAATTGAATTTCATAATGTTAAAAGAGGGACACAATGGTAAAGACAATTGTGTTTAACCAAGCAAAGAGTTGAGGTATCAAAATAAGAAATAGGCTTTTTTAACATTTTACCTAGACATGATGTCTCAATTTCTCTAGAATACAAAGGAATGTGAGAAGCAAGCTATTATAGTATAATAGTGGGTTCAAATTATCAATGTGCATAGCAGTTTAGATTGAGGAAATGGATTTAGGGAGCAGTACTCAAAGATCCCAAATTGTCTCCTTCAATTATACAGAGGGTTAACAATAGGTAATGGGGGGATAAGATTCCATTTCAAGGAAAAAATTAAGTCAATATTACATATTATATAAGTTTCAAGGAGGAAATCAAAGAATTTTTAGAATCAGCTTAATGGAATTGCCTAGATCCATTTGGCAACCAAATTGTCTGGAGGAAATTCAATAATTAGAGAGCACATATATGAGTAGACATAATACTAGGTTTTTTTGTGTACAAAATCACTTTAACTTCATTTGAAGAAACAAAGGCCCAGAGAGGACACACAGCTAACATCTGGGATATATTGGGTACTGTTCCATCAGTACATAAAAAGAAACATGCTTTCTACCACATCAGGTAAAAAATTTCCTATTTCCAGGACTATCAATGTTAACGAGGAGTCTTAGAGAAACAGAATGAGACAAGCCAATGTCAAACTCAGGGTACTTTTTATGAGTTGATAAGCGAGCACACACAGACCCTAGACCCTTATAAGTAGCAACAGTGGATAGGTGAAGAAATCTATGGAATTATAGAAGCAATAAGACTACATTATTATTTAAGGGGCAGTGAGTTAATTTCAGAAATAAACTGATGCCTGTTTGAAAAAAATAATGAATAATCCAACATGATAACAATGATTAACTTTCAGAGGTGAAAGTATAGGAATCTTGTCTCAAGGCTTCTATTTAAAAAACTTAAAAATGACATTTAGAATAATTTATTATGAAGATAGTATAATTGCTTAAGTGGCACTTCTCACCCCATATGACAAATTGAAGGAATGGAAAATAAAAGATATGGGTTATGTATAGTGCTCTCCTGTTGTAATAGTCATGTCATGAAGTTCTAACAACTTTTCCAACTATTGGGTGCATAACAAGAAAGCGATGTCCTTAGCACACATTAGTTTCTGATTAGTTATGATATTCAATGGCTACTGAAATAAGTGTTCACCTAAAAGACACAAGCTTATTCTCATACCAAGATCCTGAGTAAATAAATAAATAACTTTCTCTCTGAAATCTGATTTCCTCATCTTCAAAATAATGTTAATGCCTTAATGGCAAAGTTGTTGAAGAACATACATGAAAAGTGGCTAACAGAGGGCCAGGAGCTATGTTCAATATAGTTCTTGCTCATATTATATCAGTATTTCATGATCATCATTATCAACCATAATTACTCATATCCTGAAGAGAATTGTGCTTGCTGTCAACCACTAAGAAACTACTGTATATATTACTTATATCAAAAACTTTGATTAGGTCAATCAATGATCTTGGATGTAGTTACCACATTTCTCCAAAACAGTAAAGACTCTCTCTGCTGTGTTGTAATTCTGGAGTAGTCCAAAGTCCATATAAATAATTTACAAGTTTAGTTCTAACATTGACCCAACCTACCCAATCTAATAACCAGGAAGGAAGGAATTCTTTGCTAAAGTCAACAAAAAAATTTTGAAGGCTACAACAGTGCCATCAAATTGGTCCATGCTAATTTCCTCATCTCACCTGCTTGTAAGGCTCCCAAATTACAAAATTATCAATACAATCAACAGCTCTTGATTATAAGTCTACTCCATCTTCCCAACAAAAATCTCTGGATATGAATATTCAGATTTTCAGTTACTTGAATATAATCTCACATCCTTGTAATCCTACACCTTGTAAAATATTTTCAAAAACACCTACCTCAGCTTGGCAGAGCGAGTGAAGACCTTGTAGCACCAAAGCAGCTGGGGTAGCTTGATCAGGTTTGGTGCATTCATTCAACACCTGAGAAATAGCTGCCAACATATCTGCACCATGCTGATATGGTCTACAAGAAATGACAGTTTAAAAATGAAATTAAACCAAACAGCTTTTACTATTCTCAGATTTTCTACCTGAACAAAAAGAATTTATGCATATATTTACCCATGTGCCCATTAAATGCCAATTCTCAAATACTAACAGTAAATGGTTTTCTTCAAAATTTTGTATGATGGCCTTTTTTGGCATAACTTACTGCACATTTTTGATGTAGAAAAAGTACCCAACAATGGAAAATACTTTGAAACACATTTTATTCTCAATAAATCACAAAGAAAAATGTTTTAAATTGAGAAAGACAAATTTATAATAATGGTAAATGGAACAAATCGGCCTTATTTTTTTTAAAATGTATTTATTTATTATTTGACAGGCAGAGTTATAGACAGTGAGAGAGACAGAGAGAAAGGTCTTCCTTCCGTTGGTTTACCCCCCAAATGGCTGCTATGGCTGGCACTGCACCGATCCGAAGCTAGGAGCCAGATGCGTTTTCCTGGTCTCCCATGTGGGTGCAGGGGCCCAAGCACTTGGGCCATCCTCCACTGCATTCCCAGGCCACAGCAGAGAGCTGGACTGGAAGAGGAGCAACCAGGACTAGAACCTAGCGCCCATATGGGATGCCGGCACCACAGGAGGAGGATTAGCCAAGTAAGCTACAGCGCCAGCCTCACCAATTTGCCTTATTAAGATTATCCGTTAAGACAGAGCTTTTCCTGCTTGGTGGTTGCTTCAATATCAGATATCAACTATGAAAGAGGTATCTGAGGAGCCAGTGTCATGGCATAGGAGGGTAAGCCTCTGCCTGTGATGCTGGCATCCCATATCGGCACTGGTTTGAAACCCAGCTGCTTTACTTACAATCTAGCTCCTTGCTAATGCACCTGGGAAAGCAGAGGAAGATGAACCAAATGCTTGGGCTCTTGCACACTTGGGAGACACAGAACAAAGTCCAGGCTCCTGGCTTTGGCATGGCCCAGCCCCAGCCATTCTGGTCATTTGGGAACTGAAACAGCAGATGGAAGATGTGCATACTCTCTCTCTTTCCTTCTCTCTAATTCTGCCTTTCAAATAAATAAAAAATAAATCTTAAAAAAAAAGAAAGGAAGTAGGGATTTGAGATCAGAAGTTCACTTATGGTAGGGGTGACATGATACTAAGGTGATTACACCAATCATAGTAATACTGATGATAAAAGAATAATAATACAAATTAAATCTGCCTGAGCTCCTATCTTGTTTCAGGCACTATGCTAGATTCACTCTTTCATCCTTCTCCCCTTCCTCTCCTATCTACACCACATGTACTCTACTAATTCCAGAATACCTTTAAATTCACAGTAATGCAGATCTAATCCCTCAATTCCTTATTATCCTCAATGATTTAATCCATTTGCCAAATAAATAAAGCTCAATTGATGAAACTGCCTGATACGATTCTATTATTTCATGGTCTTAAAAATAGAAATAATTTTCCAAAGCTGGAAAAATTTGCCAGGTCTTGAGACAGTAACTGATAGGAACACTAAATAAGTCATTCATAGACTCTGAGGTAGTCTAATATTCAAATTCTGAGCCAAGCCTTAAGTATCTGAAATAAGAATGTCAGTTAATAATCTGTCATCTCTGAAATATTTTTCCATTTTTTTAAGATTTATTTTTTTACCTGAGAGGCAGAATTACAGACAGAAAGAGGGAGAAGCAAAGAGAGAGGTCTTCCAATCCAATGGTTCATTCCCCAAATGGTCAAAATGGCCAGAGCTGGGCCAATCCAAAGCCAGGAGCCAAGAGCTTCTTTCAGGGCTCCTATGTGGGTCCAGGGTCCCAAGCACTTGGACCCTCTTCCCCTGCTTTCCGAGGCAATCACACGGGAGCTGGATTGGAAATGGAGCAGCCAGGAATTGAACTGGCATCCATATGGGATGCCAGCCCTGCAGGAGGATGCTTAACCTACTACACCTCAGGTCTGGCCCCTCCCTTTTTTTTTTTTTTTTTTGACAGGCAGAGTGGACAGTGAGAGAGAGAGACAGAGAGAAAGGTCTTCCTTTGCCATTGGTTCACCCTCCAATGGCCGCCGTGGCCGGCACGCTGAGGCCGGCGCACCATGCTGATCCGATGGCAGGAGCCAGGTACTTTATCCTGGTCTCCCATGGGGTGCAGGGCCCAAGCACTTGGGCCATCCTCCACTGCACTCCCTGGCCACAGCAGAGAGCTGGCCTGGAAGAGGGGCAACCGGGACAGGATCCGGCGCCCCGACCAGGACTAGAACCCGGTGTGCCGGCACCACAAGGCGGAGGATTAGCCTAGTGAGCCACGGCGCCGGCCTCCTCCCATTTTTTAATACTTTAATAAAATCTAAACTCCCTTTTCTTGGAGTACATATGTGTAACATTTTATAACTTTTATATTGATGTTATTTTTGTATTACTGAAAGGCAGAAGCTTAGAAAAGAGGCAAAACAACTGAGGCTTTGATTTCTTATATATTCTGATCCAAGATTCCATTTGCAACAGGAATCATCCATGCTTACCTGAATCTAGGCCAACCCACTGCACAACTTCAGGAGGCACTATGCACACTGCTGTCATTGACAAAAGTGAGAATGCTGCTTCCAAGAATTCTACTATGTGATGGCATAATCAACATACGAAATTGCAGGATTACAATTTAAGTACATCAAACCTATCGCCTTCATAAACATCTTTATTTTGCTACATGCAAGAAAAGTACTTCTGACAAGGTAGAGCTTTGCTTGGGTTATTTCAACCTTGTTACTTTATTTATTGATCCATAGTCTAGAATAGCAAAGTCATCCCCCTAATATCATCATGCTTTTTTAAATTCATAGAACATCTATGAAGATTCAATACCATATCCTCTCTTGCTATAATCCCTAATAATTCCATAAAATGAGTCACAATTAAGGCCTTCCCTATTAAGAATACTTAGAGTCAGGCAAAACATATAGAAAGAATATAAGAAAAAACAGGGGCTGGTATCATGGCACAGCAGGTTAAACTGCCAATTACAATTGCAGCACCCCAAATTGGAGCGCTAGAAAGCAGCAGATGATGACCCATGTACTTGACCCCTGCTACTACTAGCGAGTATTAGCCTGAATGGAGTTAGCTAGACTCCGTTTTTAAGCCTTGGCCCAACAGCAGTCATGCGGCCACTAGGGGAGTGAACCAGTGGGTCAAAATCTCTCTTTCCTTCCCCTTTGCTTCGCTTCCTCCCCTCCACTCCCCTCTCCTCTCTCCTTTTCTCTCTCTCTCTCCCCCTGTCTCTTGCTGTCATTCTACCTTTCAAACAAATATATATTTTTTAAAAAAAGGAAGAACAGTTCGATTATAGTCTATTGCTTAGTTTTGAAGGATTTATATACAGAAAAACAGAAAACATAGCATCAAGTGTTTTACTGCAAAATGAAATTATTTTTCAGCCAAGGATATAAATATCCTATAAACCTAGATACTAAATTAAAACTGAAAAGACATACATGTTTCTCAAAGATATTTTCCAGAAGTATTACTTATTACAATCAGAAATTGTGAGTTGAAATTTTTTTTACTGGTATCTATCTTTCATAGCTTCTTGTTTGCAAAAAAAATTAAGTAAGAAATAATATATCACAATGTACATTCTCAAAAGTGAAGCACAACTTACCTTTGCCTGCATATATCTCTGATTGATGCCGCTTTAGCAATCAGCTTCTCCCATTGGACCTCCTTGCCCACAGAAAGAGAAGGTACATCAGACATGGCCATGAAACGCTGTAGTTCAGGATAGACACGATCCTAATAAGGCAATTTAACAAAAAAAAGATAATTTTTCATTCAGTTGAATAATCATTATCTCCTTTTGTGCAGCATTTTCACCTCCAAATATTACATCTGCATTGCAAATTACAATGTATTTCTTCTAATCAACAGAGAAGAATGCTGTTGTGATTACTGGGGACTTTCTTACAGACATATGTATGGTTCATTTCATAAAACAAGAAGAAAGTGGCTAAATGTCACCCTAATTTTAAAGGCCTTAATCACTTATAACCATATTTCTCTTATGTTCTAATGCAAATTCAAATATAAATTTAGGAAATAAGAATTTTTTATATTCTTAATTTCTCGGAGATTCAATCACTATTGACTGCACTATAGGTCAAATGCACCAGAATGTATCAAAGCTTCTCAATGCAATCACTGATGCCACTAATACCACTAAATCAAAGCACTATCACACATAATGACATATTTATGTTTCTTCAGCAGAAGGAATATATTTGATACTCATACAAGTGTATATCTACACTTACCTGCTTTTCCCACAAAGATGTCAACAAGCGCAAAGTGACAGCTCTTAGCTGTGGGGTGGTTCCAAGCAGTTGGATTACTCGGAGAATCTGTCCTATGCATACCTACAAAAATAGAAAAACTATTATTCCACAAATGTAAATATAGACAATCTCAAGGTTACCAAGAGCATTTTTGAACTCCTTATTATAAAATGAATGCTGAAAGGGAATCATTCTGCAATCTTAGCCATGTTCTCAGGATGGGAGGTAACTCTGGGAGGGGCTAATCAGCTATCCTTGGGGTATAAAGACTGAACTGCAGAAAAGGACTAGTGTGATGGCTTGGATATTAAGTCACCTGAAACAATTAATTCTTAAATATTGTCATAAATTTTTTTTTGTCTTTAGACACTACCTCCTGTAAAATATGACCCAACAAAGGAAACAGTAATCATGAATAAGTTAAGGGCTCAAAATTTCACAGTATAAAAAAGAAATCAATGTATTATTTATACCTCATTTCCCTTGCTCCCACCAAGTAAACTGAGTAGTATACTAACCTTATGAACACCAAGCATAGGTAAAGTATACAATATATCATTGTATAACACAGGCTCCAGTGGTCTTCCCAATTTGAACATCAAAACTGGTATCAAATTTGGTACCTAAAACGAATTTAAAGAGTATATGTATTAATTATGCCATGTTCTAAAATAAAAACTACAAAGCAATAGTTACCTCTTCTTTTCTTTGAAAGAATAATGTGAATAAAATAGACCACCCCCAACGCACACTTATCTATAGAGGATACCTTCCAAGATCCCACTGGATACCTGAAACCACAGACAGTACTAAATCTTATACTATTTTCCTTATATATATGATACAATATATATCATAAAGTTTATTTTATAAATTAGGCACATAAAAGATTTACAATAATAAATATAAAATAGGACTATTATACTGTAATAAAACTCATGTGAATTCTTTCACTCACTCTCAAAATACCATATTTTACTTTTCTCTTTTCACCTAAAGGAAGTGCTTCATAGTACTGATATGTCCCAATGAACAGCATCACTAGTCTTATGCCATGGGGCCAATATTAAGTAAAATATGGTTTACTTAAACACAAACATTGTGATATCACAATTGATCTGAAAACAGAGATGCCTACTAAATGACTAATGGGTTGGTAGCACATCCTAAATGGATAAAAGGATGATTCATAGACTAGGCAGGACAATGAGACAGCAAGATATCGCATCATACTACTCAAAATGGTATGCAATTTAAACATGAATTATTTATTTTGGGAGCTTTCCATTTAATATTTTTAGACCAAGGTTGTCTGTGCATAACTGAAATCAAAGAAAACAAAATGGTAGATAAGGAAGATTACTGTATGAATGAATGATAAAACTATTTTTTGTTAATGATAATTTCATATTTCCTAATATTACACCTTCTTTATACTCAGCTGCCAAATACCAACCAAAAAGCATTTTTCTTAAACTATAAGATTAATTCTGAGCAGTACAAAAGTAGTTTAAGATATACTGTGTCCCAAAGAAGCTTACACCTTGAACGAACAGCCAGAGATTTAAAAAAAAAATAAAAAATCCTCATGGTAAAATATTCAATTAGATTACACTAATATATGATAACTAAACCAAAGGACGATAAAGGGGCAAAACTCCCCCTCCCCCAGGTCCCTAGTATTCATTTCAATCTCTATGAATAACACAATAAAATGAGAAAAGAATTCATTCATGCATCAGAAAACTTAATATTTTTAACATGCAAATATTTCCTGAATTGATAGACAAATTGAGCACAATCCCTATCAAGTTTGTTTCTTTGTTAAAATTGACAGCCTGATCCTAAAATTCAAATGTATCAGCAAGGGGCCCTGAATAGAAAAAGTACTCTTGAGAAAAAAATTTAAAATTTGAAGACTCAAACTCTCCAATTAGAAATGTACTACAAAACTATGGTAATCAAAAATGTGATGCTGACATTAAGGATTGAAATACAAATCAATGGAATAGAAGTCAGAGTCCAAAAATGAGTACTACACTTAAAATCAACTGATTTTTCCATAAAGATGCCAAAAAAATAAAAAAGAGGAAAGAAGAGTCAGAGAAATAGAGCTGGATTGCAAAAACTTAATATCCATATGCAAAAGAATGATCATCTGACACCACATATGAAAATTAACTTAAAGTAGACCAAATGTAAGAGCTAAAACTATATAAACAAAACAATCTGGTTAAGAAACGGGCAAAGGACTTCAACAGGCATTTTTCAAAAGAGGAAACTCAAATGGCCAACAGACACAGGAGAAAATACTCAGAATCACTAGCCATCAAGGATATGCAAATCAAAGCCACTGCGAGTTTTTACCTCACCCCAGCTGGAATGGCTCTCAGGCAGAAATCAACAAACAACAAATGCTGATGAGGATGTGGGGGAAAAAAATCCACTGTTTGGGGGAATTTAAACCGATGCAGCCACTGTTGAAGACAGTATGGAGATATCTCAGAAAGCTGAATATAGACCTACCATATAACCCAGCCATCCTACTCATGGGAATTTACCCAAACAAAATGAAATAAGCATGTAAAAGACTGATATGTATCCCGATGTTCACTGCAGCTCAATTCACAGTAACTAACACATGGAATCAACCTAGATGTCCATCAACTGATGACTAGATAAAGAAATTCTATGGAATATTACACAGCAATGAAAAAAGGAAATCCTGTCATTTGCTACAAAATGGATGCAACTGGAAACCATTATTCTTAGTGAAATAGACAAATCCCACATATTTTCCCTGATATCTGGTAACTAACAGAGTACCTAAAAGGTAATCTATAGAAGCAAAATGACATTTTGAGATTTGATGATTGCTTACAATCCTGGTCTCGACTATTGGGGAACAGTGTTTTTTTTCTTCATGCTATTTGTCTAACTCTTTAATTAGTATATGATTAATCTTATGAGTATAAATTTAACTGAAAATAGATCTTTGAAAAAATTAAGAATGGGAATAGAAGAGGGAGGAGGAAGAAGGTTGGAAGGGTGGACGAGACAGAGAGTTAGGTGGGAAGTATCACTATGTTACTGAATCTGTATATAGGAAATACATGAAATTTCTATACCTTAAATAAACTTTTTTTTTGACAGGCAGAGTTAGACAGTGAGAGAGAGAGAGAGAGAGAGAGACAGAGACAGAGACAGAGAGAAAGGTCTTCCTTTTTCCATTAGTTCACCCCCGAAGCGGCCACTATAGCTGGTGCGTTGCGGCCAGCACGCTGCACCAATCCAAAGCCAGGAACCAGGTGCTTCATCCCGGTCTCCCATGCAGGTGCAGGGCCCAAGGACCTGGGCCATCCTCCACTGCACTCCCAGGCCATAGCAGAGAGCTGGACTGGAAGAGGAGCAACCGGGACAGAATCCGGCGCCCCAACCAGGATGAGAACCCAGGGTGCTGGTGCTGCAGGTGCAGGATTGGCCTAGTGAATTTTTTAAAAAGAAAATATAGAAATATATCTTTGTGACTTTCGGTTAGGTAAAGCCTTCTTAGATAGTACATGAAAAGCAAAAGGAATATACAAAGAGCTCATTTCATCAAATTAAAGATTAATTTCTAAAGATAACACAAGGGTAGTAAAATAGCAGAATGGGAGAAAATTTGGTAAACCATAAATCTAATATGGGACTTGCCTGAAGAATATATAAAGAATTCTCAAAATGCAATAACAATAATAAAAAAAAACTTAAAAGGGAGAATGGACCTGAACATATACTTCTCCAAAGAAGGTAAAGAAATGGCCAAAAATTATAGGAAAAATGTGATCAACATCATTAGCCATAACATAATGCAAATAAAGACCCCCTGATTGTACACTCAGCAGGAAGGCTAGAATTAAAGACAGACAATCCCAAATGTCGTAGGGAACCTTCATTCACAGCTGGTAGAAATGGAAAGTGCAACCCTCTCTGGACAACAGTCTGGCAGTTCCTCAAACAGTTAAGCATAGAATTACATCATCTAACAAGTTACTCCTAACCACACACCCCAGAGAAAAGAAAACATGTTGACACAGAACTTTCAAGTAAATCTTCATAGCAGCACTATTTACAATGCCCAAAGTGGAAACAACACAAATCAACTGATGAGTAGATAAATAAAATGTAGTATAGCTAAGCTATGTAATATACATTAACAATAATAGTTAGCCATAAAAATAAATGAAGGGGCCTGAGCTGTGTCATGGTGGGTAAAGCCACCACCTGCAGTGTCAGCATCCCATATGGGTGTCAGTTCGAGTACCAGCTGCTCCACTTCTGATCCAGCTCTCTGCTATGGCCTGGGAAACCAGTAGAGGATGGCCCAAGTCCTTGGGCCCCTGCACCTAAGTAGGAGAACTGGAAGAAGCTCCTGGCTCCTGGTTTCAGATCAGAACAGCCATTGCAGCCATCTGGGGAATGAACTAGCAGATGGAAGACCTCTCTTTCTCTCTCCCTCCGCCTCTCTCTAACTCTGTCTTTCAAATAAATATACAGTTCTAAAATAAAATAAAAAATAAATAAATGAAGTACTGGTACATGTTACAATATTGCTGGAACTTGAAAATACTAAACCGAGTGGGACAAAAAGCCCAATCACCAAAAATAGCACATTATGATAAGAGTTTTTATTCAATTTATATGAATGAAATGCCCAGAATAGGCAAATTTTAGGAGACGGTAGAGTAGTGGCTTGTGTAGGACTAGGGTTACCAAGAGTGAATACTTGATGGGTATGAGGTTTCTTTTGAGGGTGATGAAAACATTCTCAAATTGATTGTAATGATGTAAATACAGTGAAATCCACTGAATTTTATGCTTTAAATGGGTGAACTGTATGGCATATTAACTATTATATAATACCAATTAAATCTTGATAAAACTTCTTAAAAATATACTTAAAATCACTAGTGAATGTCTTCTATTAGTAAGATACTAGATTATATAAAATGTAGTGCCAAAAAAATTATTGTCCATATGCTACATTTCAAAGGCTTGCTATCCAAGATTTCTGTTAATTTCCTCACTGTGTTCTAGTCTAAGAAAGCTTGTTTCTTCTAAGCTTACAAGACATTGACTTTCAATTTTTTTTCCATTTGACAGAGAGGAAAACAAAAAAAGGAAGACAAAGACAGATAGATGCAGATGGAGTGAGTTCCCATCTCCTGGTTCATTCTCCAAAATGTCTACAAGGGCAGGAAACTGGACCCAACCTAAACTAGAATCCAGGAACTCATTCCGGGTCTCCGATATGGGTGGCAGGAACTCAATTACCTGAGCCATCGCTGCTCGCTCCCAGGGTCTACATTAGCAGGAAGCTGAAATTAGGTGCCAGACTCAAGTATTGAATAGGTATTCCGATGTGAGGTGCAAGAATCCCAATCATCATCTTAACCACTAAGCTAAATGCCAGCCCCATAAAACTAGATTCACATACAGCTTGATAATTTGGTACATGGAAACTAACAGCTTAAGAAGAACCACAGATTCAGGTCTCGAATCTCATGCTCACTCCAGGCCACACATTGTAGAGTCACTGTAGAGTAGAATCATTCAAAGCATTTAAAATGCCATGAATATGGTT